GAAATAAAATTCTAGTAGGATCGATATGTTCTAAACAGTGAATAAAGCAATAAGAACAAGATACAGGAATAGCTCAAACAATGATGAATGATTAAACTTCAACACCCCAGAAGAGCTCGACGAAGAACATCGACTGTAGAGGTGTTTTAGGGTTACAAAATGATAATCAAAGTAATGGACAGGCCCAATCCGGTAAATACAAACAAAGCACATGACGCAACATATTTATCCTACACCATGTAATATGTGCTTCACGGAAATCCCGATGTATGCTAGTTTATATGTGATATGTTATATGTTTCGGGCTTCGGTCCGATGTCGGGGCAAGCCCGATGCAGATTCTGTAATTATATTATGTCTTTATCGTATATGTTATGTTGTGTATGTGTTGGGGTAAGCCCGATGTTGGGGTGAGCTCGATGTCCGATGCGGTCGGATACTAGGGGGAGGCTGATGTAGGACAGGTGTTCGATGTCGTGTAAACCGATGCCGGGATTTTCCCGATGCAGTTAGGAGTAGTCCCAGAGTTATGTTATTTGTTATATGCTAAGTGTATGGTATGTGGTATTTTGGGGGAGCTTACTAAGCTTCGTGCTTACAGTTTCAATTTTGGTTTCAAGTACTTCAGTTAGAAAGGGGAGGGGCTCGGGTTTATTGCATGGCACACACCACAGTTCTTTAGCCCCGGAGAATACTCTGATATTTCATATGAGATTAGTGACATGTTGACAAATATTATGACATTTTAGACACATGAGTTATGATTTGATATTATGGTGATGATGTCTATGTTTATTAACTGATTTTGAAAACGAAATTTTTGGACCATATTTTTGGGATGCTTCAACTCTTCTCACATCGAGTTAAGAATTACCTGGTTGGTCATCTAAGTTTAGCAGAGGTATTTCCGGTTCTTTAACCACCTTCATTCTTCTACATTAGCCTTCGCATTCATAAAGGTAACCCTTGAGACTCTCAACAATACCACTGAGGTTTATGGTTACGAAACATTTGTGTTCATGATCTTAGCTTCGGTCACCACAAACTGAGTGAAACCCTAAATCCAACACACTTACACGAATTGATGGTGAACCATAAAAAATTCTAAATTTTCACCATGGAATTAACAAAACTCCACCTTTGTGGATTGTACCGTGAAATCTCTTTTTATTTTTTCGAGATCTTTGAGAAGTGTTTTATTACCAAGCCACTTCTTCACAAAAGATCCATTTTTATTTTTGTTTGAGATTTCAATTTTTTATCTCGACACTCAAATATTTCAAGCCTACTCGTTCAACTGAATACACTGGTCACACGAGTACTTCATCCTACATTCGTTCTTATATTAAGTTCGTTGTTTTGTTGGAGGGTTAGCCACCCAATGAGCCAAATTAAAAGATGCCTTTCATTGTTTCTTAACAAACAAATGATCGTACTTCAATGGGAAACCACACATACACTTTTTAGTCTCTCTTGACTTAGAAGGAAGAGATTTGTGCCCGAGATCTTCAGTTTCGTGTCTCTATTGACATCACTTTAATCCCACTAAGATACATCGTTTTATTTTTTTTATCTTTGGCACACTCTCTCACGAAGATTTTTATGATTTTTAAAACGTAAGGTTCGTGACACTTATGGCATTTTTCAGATTTGCAGTCTCGCTCTTATATGCACTTCTGATGTTCGTTTCTCAAAAGCGAAAGGTGCATATTCAATTTAAAGATGTCAAGGATTTTGAAACGTTGGGGATAAAGGTTGCTGACGCAACATTTGAAGATAAGATTTTGAAATGAAAGGCATGTGGAGTTTTAAACGGTTTTAGTTCTCACGCCGCATGTGGTTATGATGACAACCTTTCAGCCGCTATAGTTGTCAAATCACACTTTTCAAGGCATCCAATCAGGAGTCGTCATGCAATCATCGCTTCGTTTTGTCTCTCTCTCTCTCTCTCACTATAAATACTTAAATCAATTGAAGATTTATCCTTTATCATTATCAAAGAAATTTCAAACCCCAAACGGCACTTTCTCTGCCAACTGTTCATCTCCTTCTACAACCTGTAACAATGGTTGACTCTTCATCCATTTAAGAACAAACTAATCAGTCCTCTCTCCTCACAATCAAGCAACATCAAAACTTAATTCTCAATTTGGCTCCATTTAAATGTGATTCCTTTATGTTGCCAATCGTAGAATGCTTGAAGTATTCACCTTTGGTCATCGCTTTGACAAAGGTCGAATGTGTACCAATGTCATTGTTGTCCAAAGCTTACTCGATCGCCGCCTACGTCAAGGAGGATGAAAGGATCACTTTTGAAGTGTTTGAGAACAAAACTTCAGTCACGATGGCCAGGTTTTGCTCTCTTTTAGGGCTTGCTCATGATGATACACTGATAAACCCAGATTCAATCGCTACTGCATAAATTATCGATATGTTCTACCAAATACGGTAAACAGATCCCATTCCCTCCATCACCAAGCTTAAGAAATCAAACCTTCCTCCAATGTGGAATGGTTTCTTCACGCTTCTCTTCAAGGGGTTTTCTGAAAGGGTCACTGGTTCAGATTGTGGGAGTAAATCATTCATGACGATCCTCTATGGCCTCTACTATGGGATCTATCTCAACTACGGTTTAGTATTGTGGGCTTAACTGGTACAAAGCATGAACTCCACTGCTTGCCACAGCAAAATCTCCATGGGTCGCTTTTGGACTATTGTGGTCCAGCATGTAAATGCAAAGCTTAACATTCCAGTCATGGCAGATTCATTGAAGTCTTCGATCGCTACCTTTCACACTACAAAGATCATAATTCCTAACAATTATAAGTTCACTTTTATGGGTTCTATTCCCGAATCCATGTACGAGACTTGGTCGGGGCAAGCAAGCGGATTGGGGAATGCAAAAAGAGTCCAGTCTTAGGTCCAAGAATCGTCACTCTGAAGATGCAGCAGACCCTTGATGAGGCTGATAATATCAAGAAAGCGGGCAAACCAAAACAGACGAAAGAGGTTCCGTCTACCCTAACTTTGCCTTCCAAAAAGCAAAAGACAAAAGTTGATTCGCCCAAGCCTTCTCCCTCTTCCCCGAAGAGAAAGCGTGTGAAGAAGCAAGATCGTAAGATTCATGTTCCCTCCTCAACCTAGTCTGACAGCGAATCGGAAGATGTACATCGAGATGAATCTGACGACGATTTCAATAGAAACGAACAAGAGGTAAATTTAATCCCATCTCCTCAGCCATCACCAACTTCAACGTATGTTCTAATTACAATAGCACCTTCTCCACCACCTATCATTATTCAATCACCACCTGTTACTACTGCACCATCTACTTCTATTCCTCAGCAAACACCCATTTTCACTGAAACCACTACAACTACCACCACAGTCGAACCTCCGGTCAATGTCAACGCATCTGATGCGGAGCAAAGACTTCAGGTTTTGCAACTACTACTACTACATCTCCCATTTCTCCTCAAAATCACCATGGTTCGAAGGACTTTCTTGGGGTTGAGGGACTTGACTTCGATACCTTTCACTATAGTCCTTTCTCAATCCAAGAAGACAGTGATGATTATACCCCTCTCACTCAGAAGGATATCAAAGTTCTGAACGCGAAGCTCGATACTCTTATTGCTTCATCCACTGGCTCTTCAAGTAGCAGTCAAAAGTATGCTTGACAAACTTGTGAAAGAGCACACTACAAATCTAGACAAGATGCTTACAACACTATATTTGGCAGCATAGAGTCATAAAGATTCAAACTTTACTACTTATAGAGCAATATAGGATGGCAAAAGGTTGGTACAAGTTGGATCATTTGCACCAAATACACGAGCTTCTTCTTCAAGTTTCACACCAAAGGAACCAAGAACACATGAATAGATATGAGGAAGCTACGGTTTCTTGCTCTAGGGTTTCTGGAGAATGGAGTCTGATAAGAGAGAAAATTCTAAGAGTTAGTTCCTTTAAATAGTATTCAAACCTGAGGTTTATGATTTGGGCTGATAGGTACGACGTTTCGCGAACCACTTAAGGACTCATCGTGATTTAATTATTAGCATGCCCCGCGACCAAAAATGGCTCTTCGCGGAGTCATTTTCTTCCCAAAACCCTCATTCCGATTTTCGTTAAAATAAATAATTAAACGTACCCGAAAAACATATGTTACACTATTTTTAAAACAAAACCAAAAACAACCTCATTTAAAAAAAATCATGATCACGATGTCAAACACTTCTTTTTTTGTTTGCGTTTAAGTATCAACGAGGGTGGCGTCGGGTAACTCGACTCTCTCTTACCATCTCACATCTTTTTTGTTACGGGTTTGGTCTCTACTATTTGTTTTTTGTTACGCGTTTGGTCTCTATCTTACCTAAAAAGACTTTTATTTAAATTATTAAAAACTGTTGGGGTAGATAAGGTGAGGGGGGTTGGGGATGTGTGTATTTAAATAAATTAAAAACTCAATGACAAAATAGTCTTTTTAGGTAAGATATAGACCAAACGCGTAAAAAAAACAAATAGTAGAGATCACCCAAATAAAAAGATAAGTTAAGCACCAAACATGCAAATTAACCTAATCAATTCATGTAATTTACTCTAAGAAAAAGTCATAGATGATAAAACCAACTATATCGAATGGTCTAATAATACTTGGATAAAGGGTATAAACAACCTTAGTTTATTCTAAAAATATGTTTACTTTTTAGATAATCGTGGGGACCTGAAATCAAAAAATTTACTACAGGTTGCGATTTTAGCGAGGTACAATAATTTAGATATTAAGTTATATATGCTAATTCATGCTGATGGAATTATGCAATCAATTAATTTAAACTGTAAATATGTATAAAAAAGCATCTCGAATTAACAAATAACTAAAACGTGGGCAAAACAAGGTAACTATAAGGGACCTAACTATAAACAACAATATATATGGTCATATCACACACTTAACTCAGGCATAACCAACAACACCTACGTCCTTGCCACCATTAATGGAGTTTATGCTTATTGCTCTTGGTTTGTTCTTATCCTACGCTCTTACTCGAGCCACACTCTCAATTTTTGGAGTCGGCAAACCCAAGAACCTACCACCAGGCCCAGCCCCGCTGCCGATCATCGGAAACCTCCACTTGCTCGGCAACCAACCACACCAGTCTCTAGCCAAGCTAGCAGCTATACATGGCCCAATCATGTTCTTAAACCTTGGTCGTACCTCCGTACTAGTCATCTCCACCGCTGCCGCCGCCAAAGAAGTCCTCCAAAAGCAAGACCTTGCTTTCTCCTCCCGCCATATCCCCGACGCCCTCACCGCCCACAACCATTCCACTTACTCCGTGGTCTGGCTCCCTGTCGCCACCCAGTGGCGGAGTCTTCGCAGGTTCTTTAACACCAACATCTTCTCTAGAAACTCCCTTGATGCTAACCAGCACTTACGCAGACAGAAAGTGCAAGAACTGGTGGCATACTGCCGGAAAGCTAGCCACTCCGGAGATTCAGTCAACATCAGCCGAGCTGCTTTCAGAACCTCACTGAATCTCCTCTCCAACACATTCTTCTCCAAGGATTTAACAGACCCGTATGAGGATTCTGGTAAAGAGTTTAAGGAGCTGGTTGGAAACATGATGGAGGAGGCCGGGAAGCCAAATCTTGTGGACTTTTTTCCGGTGTTAAGGAAGATCGATCCACAAGGGATCAGGAGGAGATTGACTCGTTATATTGGGAAGGCTTTTGAGGTTTTTGAGGAGTTGATTGAAGATAGGTTGGGGAATAGATCGAATCAGGATGATGTATTAAACGAGTGTTTGAAATTCAGTGAAGAGAATCCAGATCAGATGAATCGAACACACATCAAGAGCTTGCTTTTGGTACCTATTTATTTATTTTTCTTAGTATTTCAGACTTGGTTTCAACTTTCAACTACCCAGAAGTTAAATTGGTCTTTAAGTCTAAAAGGCTAAAACTATTATTGGGGTTTTCCCAAAAAAACATGACACTTTTTCTTTATTTTCCTAATTTACTATAAAGGTTTTCGTTTTTTTTTTTTTCATTTTCTTTTTAAATTTATAACTATTTTATTATTGTCTGTGCTATTTGTTTCATTGGACATCTAAGAGCTTTTCCGGAGATGTCCTACGAAGATTTTTTTTTTTTTTTTTTTTTTTTTAAAATAGCTATTAAGCCCTTTCCAATAGTCTTCAAAATAATAATTTGGTGTCAAATTTTGCTACAACCGGTTTCCATACTTTTTTTTAGTGATTTTGTACGATAACAAACCAAAATGGTGTGCTACTCCGCCAAAAGTGTGTAATTTGTTAGATAATTAATATAAATGTCAAAAACTAATTTCTAGATAATAAATAATTACAAATATTACATTAAGAACTTTAAGATAAGCCCGATATTATATATATAACATAAGTGAAAAAAACAGTAAAAAAAATATATAATTTAATCACTAAAATATTAAATTAATATGTTTTTAGTATAAAGTGTTAGTATGTGGTTGAAGTAACAACTTCATTACTATGATGTCAAAAACTCAAAATTTTAGTGTAGTTGTTGAAGTTGAGCTAAGGAGTTTTTTCAAAATAAAAACTATTAGAAATTTGAAAAAACTCCTCAAGCCACAAATGAAAGATTTTCAGTGAAATTATAAATTTACAAGCTCTTGATCTTTTTCAATGACTAATAATTATATATTTGTTAGCAACCTTTTATTTGCTTATTTATTTATTTATTTATTTATTATTATTTTAAAAAAACATAGTAATGCAGACTTATATTCATATTTTGTGTTTTTTTAAAACAATACATATGTTGAGAATCATTTAATTTAGTTGTGTATTTAAATTGATGAAAGTGAATTTAGTTTTTTAAGAATTTATTAAAAGCATACGTAGCCTTTCACCAAAACCAACTATATAGTATCATCGTAACTCACTAGGGATAAGCGGAAGTGTAACGTCACAAATTTAAGAATAAAATTTTTTATTTTTAAAATATAATAAACACCTATTTTTATAAAGTTACATTAAATCAAACCATTTGTTTAGAAACCATAATTCAGAATCAGAGTTATAAGCAAAACGATGCATAATCTTTAACCATAAATTTGTTGACGTGCGCGTGTACAGTCTCACATTCGCAATTCGATAAGTACCTAAAAACATTTAAATTAATCCATAATTATAAGTCAGGGCTTAATAAGTTCCCAAAATACCTCATACAACAGTACACATACAATGTATGCACATTGTAAAATTGGATTGCCTCCACCGAGCCCACAACATATGACTTGATTGCCTTTACTGGGTCCATAACATATAACTGGATTGCCCCCATCATGCCCACAACATAAGACTGGATTGTCCCTGAGCCTACAGCATAAAGCTGGACCGCTCCCGGGTTTGTTGGCCTACAATATGAAACAGTAATGCCTCAACCTTACCACACTATGTCGACATGTGCACCAAAACAATAACACGCAAACACCGTTAATCATAGCAGATCCGTCAGACTAACATAAAAATATATCATAACAACATCATACATATAAGGACATATACTTTCGTACAAATTATAGCGAGAAAACTCACATCAATCAGCATACAAGATGAACCACAAACTCGAGCTCAGGATATCAAGCATCCTCATGCTAAACACAAAATAAAACCCTAATTAACAATTAAGGTTATAACTAACTCCCAAAAAGTCTTGGTTCATAGCTAATCCTCCTTGGCGTAAAAGACCATTTTACCCATCCAAGACTAAATCCCAATGCAGTTGACCAAAAGTCAAATCGGTCAAAAAGTCAATGGTCAACCCTCAATTGACCTATGCTCAGTGGAGCATACTGCTCTATGTTCAACGTAGAGGACCTTCCTATACTCAGCATAGACAATGTTATGCTTAGCATAGCCTCGGAAGTCTAAAAACTCTATTAAGCTCTTAATACAAAAAGTCGATCCATCAAACTTTCAAATATTGACCTTTGTAATGTCTTAGTGGATAAATTTTCCAACTTTACCCATTAAGACACTCCCATCTAGCAAGATCTAAACTCTAAGCACTAAAATGAAAAAAAAAATGCTAACACAACTTGCATGGCTTAAAGAACAAGCACCAAAGCATAACTTACCAAGTCCAACAAGTCCCAAGAGTATTCCATATAGCTCAAATTCTGTTGGAGTTGTCTCAACTTCTAAATACTAACTCAAGGAACCAAAAAGGGAAAAATATAAAAAATAAAAAGATCTATGAAACCGATGAGCAAGTTAGAAGCTTTTTACTCATAATGGTGCAAGAATGAAGCAACCTTATTGGATCTATATGTGAACCCTTATTCTATGCACTTTACAAACACCTTGATCTTCAAGAATCAACCATCAAATGGGGAAAATAAGCTCACAAAAGATGCCAAGGCTCAAAACAATCGAGTGGAGTCTAGGGTTTCTTAAGGAATGATATGAGGTAATTGAGGCTAGTCATGGGAATGATCCCAAGAAGTTAGAGCCCTTAAATATGGCTCAAAACCTTAGGGTTAGGGTTTTGGTATGCAACAACTATGATCAATGTAGCATAACCTACGCTCAACATAGGTCATTATATTTGTGTCCTCTATTCATCACCTACAATCGGGTAAATTTCCCAATTTCCATTTCAAATTCACTCAATCATACATTCTTTGTTTGAACTCCATTTTCATCAATCTTTATATGCACGAAAAGGTATTAACGAGTCCCACATATCTATCTAGTTACTTTTGACTAAAAACGTATCTGTAACACCGTAAATTTCAAGACAAATTTTTCATTTAAAATAGTCATTTTACTCTTAGAAACACTTGTTTAAAATCTTATTCATAGTCGATTTACAAAACATAACTCCATTTTCACTTGCATAGAAAACCAAGATCCTCCAAAATATGACTCTTTCTCTGGTGTGTACAATCAAGCCGGTGCCGTCCCGCGATACAGAAAGAAACCTGTAAAACATCAAACAAAACACTGTAAGCACGAAGCTTAGTGAGTTCCCCAAAATACCACACATAACACATATTAGCCACTCGAGGCTATAACTCTGTGGGTCCGTGCACCCAAACTCTGTGAACCCTCAGGTTCTAACTCTGGGAACCTTCCGGTTCCAACTCTATAAACATGCACAACATAAATCACATAGAAATAATGCAGTACAACACATCACGTACATATATCATACAAATACTCTAATCACATAACTCTGGTTACCTACTCAAGGTAAAGTATAGTGAGAAGACTCACTTGGCAAGCAGAAAGCAGATATCCCCACACTTGAATCTCGAACTCGCCACCGCCTAACACGTAAGGCAAATACTCTCATGAATATAACTCTCGAGGCTAGAATAAATCCTCTCATAACACCCTCTTATGGGTAAAAGACTATTTTATCTCTCTCTTGGCCCAAAGGCCACATCGCTGTCCAAACCCTAAAACTCAACGGCCAACCTTTGGTCGAAATCAAAGTCCTCAGTCTAGGTCAACCCTTGACTGACTCTACTCGCCGAGTCAACCCTGTGACTCGTCGAGTTCCCATAATCAGAACTTCCCCATATCGCGACTCAACTCGTCGAGTCACCACGAGACTCGCCGAGTCCCACAACTCTGAGTCCACTCACACCCAACTCACCGAGTCATCCCTTGACTCACCGATTCTCGACTCAACCAGGAAATATTTGGGACTCTTCGTCAAGACTCGTCGAGTCCAAGAACAGACTCGCCGAGTCTACGGCTATCTTTAACCTACTCGCCGAGTTGTTCATACAACTCACCGAGTTCCAGGCCATCTTCGTCCAACTCGTCGAGTCCACCCATGTGACTCGCCGAGTACCGCCGGTCTGAATACATTCCGAAGCATTCCAGGCCATGCAACTGCTCCAAGACATAGATCTAGCCTCCTACCACTCATCCATCACGTAAAGTGGCAAACTTTACGTGAATCCAAAGAGATCTAAGCCGTTTGCACATTGGGACTAGGGTTTGGGACATGCAAGCTTCACTAAACACCCCAACACAGGGACTTTCATGCTCTCTGATTCTTCTCCCTTCCAGATCTGAGGTAGCAACCTCAGATCTAACCTCTAGACTTCCCATTTCATCCATAGACAACTTCTCACAAACCCCAAAATGAAGAAACAACATAATCAACAGGTCAAAAACGAGATACTACCTCTAAGTGATGCCCCAACTGCAATGCAATTCGAATCCAAGCAAAGCCCCTTGCTCCAAGCCTTCAATCTTCCCAAAATTCCTTCAACCATTACTTCTCCAAGCTCCAATCCACTCAAAAATGGTGCTTCTCCGCGATTTAGGGTTTTCTGGGGCTCAAGGGGTGATAAAGAGGCTGGGAGGAAGACATAATGATCATTATATAAGGCTCAACCCCGAGAATTAGGGTTTTCTCCACTCAGCGCCTACTCGCCGAGTCCAATACACTGACTCGCCGAGTCGGCCACTTAACACGCGACCAAGTCGCGACTCTACTCGCCGAGTCCACACATGGACTCGCCGAGTCGCTCTTTCCCAATTTACTCTTTTAGCCCTTCAACTCTACTCTTGATATTTCGGGATGTTACAATTCTCCCCCACTTAAATTAGGCTTCGCCCTCGAAGCCTACAGTAACTCAACTCCAGAATTACTCCCACAACGTGCCACCTGGCCTTAATCGGACCAGATCTCACAAGGCATACCCATCGAAACTCGAACACACTTTCCATTTCCTTACGGTGTCCTGACCATTGTCTCGAACCGGGCACCGGATGCACCCTCTGATGACCACACACATCGATCCGAGAATTACCCATGAAGTATCACTGCCCCAAATCTCAACAATCACTCGACCCATAAGGGTTAGAAGACATGAACCATCGGATCCCCGATTCGAATCCCTCTCTATCCAATCCGTGACGACGGAAAGACCCAC